TTTGTCAATTTTGTATACATCAGGGGTGTAAAACTCAAGGCCAAATCCAGACTTCATTTTATGTGGCCCCGCAAGAGCTTGCAAAGAATATAATTAAATATAAAAGAATAACGTTTATTATACGGTTACATGCCTCTTGACAGAAGCACGTTGCCCATAAACTACATGTCCCACAATGCATCTCAAATTAGATTTTTTTTTGAGAATTTGACTTTTTTGCTTCAAAATGTGTCTTTGAGTGCAACCATAATGCTGATGTGGCCCGCGATGAAATTGAGTTTGACCCCCCCGGTATAATGCAAACCTCATTGAAAGGCAACAAGCACTCACCTAACCGTGAGAAAGCCCTCCTGGTTTTACTCATGCCTTTGGCATCATCCACTCCATCAATGACTGGGCTCTGGCCCTGGTTAGTGAAGTGGAAGTCGTCTGCACAACCTTCAAACAGAAATCATATCACATTTAAAATGAAATATTTACAAGATGGATCCGTTTTCAAATCCAGCTTAAATGACAACTGATATTTGAGTGACTCTTATACCTAACTGGAAGGCTTTGAACTCGGGTAAATGTGCAGAGGCGCACAGCTGGTAGAAGATATGGTAGTTCCTCTCTTCTTGGGCCTAAAAGTAGTGCAAGGGATACAAAAGAGGAATCAAGTAAATCACAGATGTATTGCAAACATATTAAGGAAAATGTATACTTCTTTCAGTTAAAGGCGCATCGATAAACTGCAAGCACATATCTATGCCCAAGATTATGTCTCTTTTAAATAGTTCACAAAACCAAGTATGTTGCCATCTTTCTGAGTGAAGGGTCAGGCAGGCTAAAGGGAGTGTTGTTTATGATTGTTGATATTACGTTGCTAAGATATAGACATGTTGAAATGTGACATTCACATGACACTGTTTGAAATCAATTAAGGAGAAACACAGCAAATGGAAAGATATGGAAGGCCACATTCAGACGGTGGTCACATGATGGCATACCAATGAAAATTACCTGAAACACAACTCTAGACTTCTCCAGTAAGTAGGTTCTCATGTTGGCCCCAATAATGCGATGCTTCTTGTCAAACCCAATCTCAATGTACTTCCCAAAGCGACTGCTGTTGTCATTCCTTGTTGTCTTGGCATTCCCAAGAGCCTGAGGAAACAGACAAAAGGCTTTCAGAAACTTGGGTCATTTTATAATTGTTGTCATATTTCCCTGTTGTGTGATTCACCTCCATGATAGGGTTGGAGGCTAGGACTCTCTCCTCAATGTTTGCCTCGCCCGAGGAGCAGCTGACTGTGGCAAAGTAGCGCATAGCATACTTAGCAGAGACAGTTTTGCCAGCTCCAGACTCACCACTCACTATGATGGACTGGTTTCTTTCATCTCTGTGTGAAAAGATGTGATGGCATACATACGGAGGGTATCAGCATAGAGGGAAAGTAACATTTAATTCACTTTGAGATGTAAATTATAATTTATTTGAAGGTAACAAAACCTGGCCATCTGTTTGTATGCTTCCTCTGCCACTGCAAATATATGGGGGTCCATGTCTCCCATGTTCTGCCCACAGTAGGCATTGATGATGTCCTCTTCATAGATGGGAAGGCTCTCATACGGATTGATGGCAACGAGGACGATTCCTAAATACCACAAAGATAATATGAATATGTTATCTTACATGGATTAAAATTAATAAAGTGTGTGTTCCTTTAAGAGCAGCCTGAGCCACAATAATCAGCATGATGTACTGTAGATTATCTCAGAGCGTACAGTGAGCAGGGTTTCAAAGTCTGCAGTGACATTGATAGTGTGACTCAAAGGAGATGAAGCTAGTTACCACAGTATGTGTAAATCGTCTTGGAGTCGATAAAGCGCACTTTGAGGTTGTGTAGCACTGCAGGCTCATGCAGGTAGCTGAGAGCGGTGAGGTCATTTTCGCCCACCAGGATGTTTGGGTTTCTCAGTGGTGGCAGGTCATTGGTTTTGGGATTTATTTTGTGTTCCACCTCCTAGAAAGACACAAGAAGGAAGCTATGAGTACCCACAGTATGAGACTTAAGAAAAAAAAAGACAAAACAAAGTAAAAATAGATGGTTAAGCAATCAAATCTTATCATCAGTTGCACTTCATGGTAAAAGCTAACCTGCAAACACTGTGCTTGGCTTGTTCATGTTCGCTCATGATAATGCTTTGGCCTTATTTCCATACCTGGAGAGCATGCCCAAACTCGACCTCACAGCTTCAGCTAGCAAAGCCCGAGTGAACAGAGTGTAAAAACGAACTGTTGGTCAATCAGTTGACTTATTTTAGACCCAGTAAATTACCCTGACTTCCTGTATTCAAGGTGTTGCATTGTTGCATACAGAGGCAGAATGTCTTTGTCTTGCCTAAGTATTTATAAGCGCTAACCAAACACCACAGCTGCCTCAAATAATGCCACAGCACAGAGAGTTATGAGTCTCTATTACAGTGCTCTTGCAGAGAAATGTGCTCATGGCTTTCTGACAGAATATCACACCTATTTCCACCTCAATGCCTGTGTGTGTGTGTGTGCGTGCGTGTGTGTGCGTGTGTGTGTGTGTGTGTGTGTGTTTTCCTGTCTTACCGTGCCATCCTCCAGCTGCAGAGCCAGCTTCAGGTCGCCAGGAGTGTAATCTTTGATAAGCTCTGCTGACCTCCACACTTCTCCTGCATCTGGCAGCCATACACGGGCATACTGATGGACACAGTGGAGGGGATAAGGGTCAGTGCCATTCAACCAGTTAACATTACAGTCAAACAGTCATTTTTACAAAGCTACAGAAAAACAGCGATGACTTGTAGCTCAGGAGAAAAGCAGGATGGCAAACTTTAAGTCAGCAGACAGCAGTCATGAGAATAAAATGGATGGACACGGGGCATTTTAAGTGGCAGGCAGATAAAAAGTCAGTGGTGGAAGAAGTATTCAAATGCTTTACTTGTGTACAAATACCAACATTATGGTCAAAATACTTCACTACAAGTAAAAGTAATAGTGCAAAAGAATTGTCAGCAAAACGTACTTTAAATATAAAAGTAATCATTGTGCAGGAAAATAGCTTTTATATAAGTATGTGTACATATGTGACGTTTATAAATAATAGTGTTGCATCAAGTAGCATATTAGTGTTGTAGAAAAATATCAGATTTACTTTTTGTAAAATACTAAAATAATTTGACTCTTTTGTGACTTCTAAGACTTTGTCCAAGTTTAATTTTTAGAGATGCATTTTGTTAAAATAAACTCAAGCTTACAGGATTTATCTTCTAAATGTAGTGGAGTAGAAGTACAAAGTAGCATAAGGAAATACTCAAGTAAAGTACCTCAAATGTGTACTTAAGTACAGTACTTGGGTAAATTTACTTAGTTAATTCCCACCTCTGTAAAAGCAATACATTTAGTTATCAAAAGGCTAAAAACTGTTCTGTAAACAGCCCTGACTAATTAACGCGAATAAACCAACGTTATTCAAAGGAACGTTTGTATTTACATTTTGGAATAGCATGACATTAGCAAGAGGAAACCGTTGAATGAGTCAGAAAACCCGTCACAGAAAAACTGTTCCTACCTTCGCGTAAAGTTCAGAGGCTGCCATGTCTCACAAGTCCCTCAGTGAGTCCTCAGAAACGTCCTCTGCCCGCAGATAAAATAAACAACATTTCACTGACTCCCGGAGCAGGAAAAGTTAACTTCTCTGAGCTGCTCTCATAGCTGCTGCTCTCGCCGGAGGACAGTCAAATGTCTGCTGTCAGCTGCGCGTGCCCTGACACGTTTTGCTCTCGTGCGTGTTTCCCGCCACCTAGCGGCCAACACGCTCTTGGCAACTGTTGGCATGGGTAGATTTTGAAACAATGGGCCCCCCGGGCACAGTGATGGGGGAAAAAAGGCCCCGTCAACTCTCCTACACAGTAGCAGGACACACAGATTGTAGTTGTTTTTAATCTTTTGACTGTTCTTTTCTGCCTCTTTATAGTCATTTTAAATCAAGTTTGTGTGTGTCATTTTGTAGTTGTTTAGTTGTTTTTGTAGTCATCTTTTTGTATGTGGTCCTTTTGCCCCATTTTGTGTCTCCTGCTCGATGTTTCATGGTAATTGTGTGTGTTTGTTTTTGTTAAACACCTCTTGGTGGTTCTTGTGATCTCTCTGTAGTTGGTTCGTGTCACATTGAAATTGTTTAGTTGTATTTGTGTAAGTACAGGCGACGGTTGCAGTAACTCTGCTGAGTGAACCGAGGATAAGGCTCAGGTGGTGTAAACATTACTGCCATGGGATGGAAAATCACACCATGAGGCCTAATAGCTCTCTTATTTTGGTCATAATGTAAGAAGGGTAACTTTACAGATATACATCTAAAAAGGGATTGTTATGGGACACACGGCGGCGTGCGTTGAAGCTAACTAGTTTATTTTGCTTGCACATAACTAGCAGTTTACATCAAAAATATAGTATTGTATTTAAGATGATTTCAGTAACTGACTATCACTAATATGTAATAAACTACAATAAGAAGACTTGGTTTCATTTAATATGAAAGTTATTTTACGCCACTTGCAGATGAAAATATACTTACGTTTTTATCTATACTTGGCAGGGTAAGTCTTTACATAAAAGGTTAGACCTGAGGTCACACAAGTGAATGGGAGTTTGCCTCCACAATAAAACTAGTAGTCATTGGTCAAGGTATCAACCATATAACGTTGTAAATGACTGCATGTGTTAAGTATATGTTCTGCTCTAGTCTCAACACAATTAACTCACTTACATTGACATTAATCAAGCATCCATTGTGGTTACTTAGTTGAATTTATTCACACATGTTCCTCACTTTTAGTGATTCATATTTCAGTAAATATAATGAAAATACCAAACCATGTAAGTTGTTTCTAATCTTAGGTGAGTACACCACAAACTGGGCTACTTTTAGTGCAGGTAGTATTAGCAACATTTGAGGGCAAAAATAAAAGCAAGGAAACATTCAATTGAATAAGTGTACTTGTAACATATTATGCAAAACTATTTTATTTACAAAACAAATGGCACAGTGTGACTGCACAGTAAATGCACATGCACACTCCAGACATGTCATGGGAGTTTCTTTCCATAAAATCCTAAGCGATTCCAGTCAGACAGTGACAGACATTTCAGGCAAAATTCATAACTAAGATTCTCACTGAGGGAGCAAATATTGCTCAAGAGGAACAACGATTCATTACTTTTAAGGCCATTTTAGATGTCAGGATGAGATGGAGACCAGCAGCAGTCATTGCAAACCAATGTCACTAAAATGAATTAAATACAACTGGCTACAAAGCATGTGTGATCCAATCTTCAGTACTTGGAAAGCACAGAATCGAACGGCTTCACAGAGAGAGGAAGGGAAACAACCACGGGTTAGAAACAAAGAAAAAGCAGGATTTCACCACTTTTCACTATTTATGTGAAATATGTGCCTCCATACGAGCAGTAGAATAGTCAAAACCATTTGAAACTGAAATACATATCTGTGAATTACACTTCTACTTTTTGAGTACATCAATGCCAATGGTCTGTGGTGGTGACTAGTATGTTTGCCTGTGATGATCAGTTACATGGCGGATTAAGATTCCTCTGCTGCTCTTTAGCTGCTGTTAGACAGGCAATTTGTATGGAGGTATATATCCTTAAAAAGTGAAAATGTATAAGATAGCATTAACTTCCACTCATATTTATAATATTTTGTTGTCATCAATCACTATTCAGTATTTTTAAGATCTTGAGAAGGATTTGCAGCTTTAACTTTTTGTTGGACTTAGCTCACTGGCAATCCAGTGCCTGGCAGTGGCCATTTTTCTCAAGAATTTGGCTTGGTTCATTACTTGTTCTTAGAGAATACATATAAAAAGGTGAACATAAACAAAAATAAACCAAAAAGATATAAAGTGGGGGTTGGAATGATAACATAACGGTAAACATAAAACCCATTAACCAGCCAGTTTGCTGGCCACGATTGATGTCTTTCTTTGAGGCAGATCCTGAGGTGTTGGGATGTGCCCCCCTGTGATCTCGGTCTTCTCCGTTGGGGCTGATGGAAGCTGTTTATTCTTCATCTTTGCCTTTGCCATGTTGTAGTCACCAGAGTCAAAATACTTGGCTGGGAAAAACAAAAATATATAAAGTGAGAATATTAGTATTGGTATTTACTCAGCAAAGAACTAACCAGGTTTACATAAGAAACGCACCCCCTTCTGAAGTCTCTTCCTCAGTAAGTCAGAGCCACCAGGCTTGGCTGCCAGGTTAGGATACCTGGCCTTCAGCTTGGCCTCCTCTGCCTTCTCAGGACTGATTACTGTGTCCTCCATTTCCTGCAGAGAAGAGTAGAGTGTATGGATGGCAAATGCTCCACTCAGCTCACATAATAGGAGAAACACTGTTGTTAAAAATGCATACGACATAAATGATTCATGAATCGGCAGTGATATTATGGTACCAAATACAGCTAGCATGGCTAACGTACCATTTATATTTCAAAAATATCCAAGGGCCGCCATAAGGTACAACTCCAACTGGTGTTTGCACTAGCATGAATCTTGCTAGTTCACTTAAGCTACATATGAACCCATTTCAGATATGCTATTGACTCCGAAACAGCAGGGCTTTTGTTTTAGTTCACCAATATATGCTAGGAGCTATCAGCTCATTACTTGGCGGTTAGCCTCGTTCATGTCATTAGCTAACTAGCTTACTGCTAGCCGTGTGCTAATTCACAAGATTCGACGTGCTAGCAGCGCAGGCTAACTGGTTAAATTAGCATTTTTGCACTTGTAATTTACCTGCTTTTCCTCCGCAGTTCTTGTTCCCTCAACCTCTTCAGACATCGTTGTATGTAATCCCTGGTTTTCTCGCAAAACTGCGGGTGTAGCGCTAGCCGTTCAACCAGCTCTTCTGGGATATGAAAGGTGGGAGCGACTCGGCGGGCGAGGGAACAGCCTGTACAGCAACAGGCCGGGGAGTCGATGCAAGAGCTGCGGATGGGAGACAGAAGATGTGGTGCAGGCTCCTTCAGTTTATTATTTTAATCATATATTTGATACGTTGTGGTCCAAAAAGTGTATTCTATAATATATTAAAGCTGATTTGTAAAAACTTGTTAAAACATTATTTTAAACAAATATAATGTATAATGTAATATAATGTCGATTTTAATAATTTAATTTCAACATTGAATAGGCTATGTTGCGTTATGCTCCAAATTCATTTGTGGAACATCTTTAATGTTTTATATAAACACTTGTAAATTCATATTTAAGACTTTCCATAACTCAATGTTGCCTCTGTAAAATAAACTTCAATAATCAGAATTGTTCTAATTAAAATGTAGGAATAGTTTTTTGCACTTGGTTAGGCTTGAAAGATTAGTTATTTTTCTATGTTTTGCCAATATTAATAACACATATCCCATCTGATGTGGTCTGTGGTAAATACCAATCAGACTTACTTTCCCCACATTGAAGCCTTCATATTTGTGTAAAAATAACAGACATTATCCCTCTGCTAGCAAATAATGAATATGTGTAATGTTTATCCCGGTTATGGCCTAACGGTTTAGATTTGGAGGCTGAATGTGACATTTCAATGTATTTTTAAATACCAATAACACATTTGTGGAATGCATACATTATGAACATTGACTTAGCCTACACTGTTACATCTGTAATGTGTAGATTATACATTTTTAAAATAATTTGGTTGCAGTGTGAGAAAGGCAGCTAATGACCATGGGAAACTAAATCCTTATCAACAAATATCCACAAGTAATTTGCTAATTGAAAAGTGTATCGTTCTGAGAAAATATTTTAGCCAAAGTATAAATACTATGCTTATAGTGAATATGTCACAACAAAAACGAAAGTTAAGAAAAAATAGTTGAAAAGATGTTTATTACATTTTTGTTTGTTACCTTTTTTAAACTTTTCTGTATTACTCTAATACACTTTACTATGCAAAATGATCGAGAACATTCTTTAAAGCACAAACTACCACACAGGAAAAAACAAAGAAACAAACTTGGAGGCATGTGGGTTAATTACTGCTGCTTTAGGGGCAGATAATTGTTAGATCAATGCGTTCAGTCCTCTTAAGCTTTTTAAAACTCAAAAGGATTACAGAGTCCATCATCAGCCAATTGGACATTTTAATTCCAACCAGGAGTACAATATAATACATGTTAACTTGGTCATGAGAGTCTTTCTGAAGATTACAAATCTTCATCCGCCATGTCCACGTCTTCTTGTAACTTCTGCACCATCTTGGCTTCCAGTTGTTTGGCCTTTCCTATGGACAAACAAACACAAACAGATTTTTAACAGTGCTAAAATGACAACCGTATTAGTGAAAACAAACATTACAAAATATACATCATCTCTAGATTTTACCCAAGACAAATGTCTTTCCAATCAATATCCACCTCTACTGATATGAAAAATAATTTTGTTTTATGTCCGGACATTAGATGTTTGTTTGATGTATCAAGCTTCATTGTACTAAATGGGTCACATGCCATCAGTGAACAGAAAAAAATGTCATCAATTAAAAATACTTTTACCTGATTACAGGATACTTGTTGTATACCTTTGCTAAATTTGGTTCCTAAAAAATGCTTACCTGCATGTGGTGCTCTGATAAGGTGAATATTTTTCTTCACTTCGGTGATGGCCTCCTCCTTCTCCAACAGTTTGCCCTTCTTTAATCTATAAAGTGGAGGCGAAAAAGTAAAAAGGTAAGGCAAGCACTGTTTTTCAAATCCTGTCAATCCAGTATTTGTTGAATCAATAACAGTTTAACATAAGATGGTGTCTGTAAGATGCAGAAAGATGAACTCAAAAGAAACATCAAAGAATGAAAACAAAACGCCTTGCTCACCTGTTCATGATAAATCGTGCCTGTCGTTTCCGTTTGATTTCTTCCACCCTCTTCATTGCTTCCACTGTAAAAAATGTAAGTGAAATATGACTACTCAGCTTAAGAATCAAAACAGGAAAACCTACACATAAGAAATAGATTTCTACATTACCTGTCTTATCCCAAATAGCTCTGTTATATTTAACAGGCATATTTCTTCGTTTCTCAAACTCCAATGCGTTATCCTGAAAGAAAGGAAATGTGTTTGTTAAGTACAGTAAAACAAATCTATGACAGCGATAGAGCTCTATTGATAAACCACTCACCACGGTCAATTCCTTTCCTGAGGCCTTTCTGAATGCTTTGGTCCATCTGGTCTTTCTAGGGTTACGCTTCTTCTTGAAGTTCTTGTGGCATTTTGATCTGCAGAATCTGAACGACTGTTTACAAAGAGGGGCAGAAGAACACATTTTTTAGGGTTATGCTTTTGTAACACCATTCATTTTTCCCAGTAAGCAAAGGGAAACTGCAGCAAACAAAGGTATTCTGATTCTTTCTGTTCATCCTGTTTTTCAGTTACACAATAACATTTATTTTACAGAATAGCATGGAAGGAAACGGACAGCAAATGCTTACATTGTAAAATGTAAGTTTATAACAACTTGAAAAACTAGTGGGTTTTATATGACATTAATTGTATTAATATGTATCAAAATATGAAGAAAATGATTAGCCTTCGAATCTTATGTTTTGTGAATCTTGTGTTTTGTAAAGCTTATGTTTTCTCCTTGTTGTGACTTTGTCAGGTGTTAAAAAAACACATGTAGTTCTGCCAATTGAAGCCTTAAAAATGAATGCACATTATTTTAAAGTATCGCTTGACACATCTCACCAACACACCAAAGAAAGTTTAGATCAATAACTGAGGGTGTTTATGATAAGTCCACAGTGAACCTCTAGAGGGCGCAACTACTCCACGAGCCAAACATGAGGCCCTGCTGTTTAAATGTCCGGCCTCAGCATTGACTAGATTTTCATTTAAGGCAAAAGTTGATCTAACATTTCAAAAAGTATCAACATTAGGCGCTCTAACCTCGAAATATAAACCGATGAATGCGAATAATATAATCACCATGTTGAGTTGTTAACAATCTTTCAGAAAGAAAACGCATTTTTTGATCCCACGTGAGTGAGTACAGCACGTTATGTTAGCATGCTAGCTAGAAAGCTATCGTTATTGGGCTAACGCTGACAGTGAATCTATTAAAGTTACAGGATTATTCAGATGAAAATACATTGACATACCTTGCAGTCGTTCCTTACAAACATCATTCCATGCCCGGGATACACTGGTCCCGAGCAGAAATAACATTTTTCGATGCGCATTTTCGCAGCAGAGACGCTGCGTGCGAGCACCGATACAAACAAGACCGAGAAGTCTCTTCTTCTTCTTCTTCTTCCTCTTTCCCCGCCGCAGCTGCAGCGCCTGCCCCCTGCTGGCCCTGTGGCACACTACGCTTCTCCGTGGAAATATACAGTATCTAGCGGACTCAAAGGAGTCCCATTATGTCCTTTCATAATTTACCACTGTCTTTGTTTACACACTACCAATGAACTTCATCCAGTGGTGTAAAGTAACTAAGTAGCTTTACTGTACAATTGTCAGTGACTAGTATCTTACTTGAGTATTTTTCAATGTTTTGCTAGGTAGACTGTATATTTTGACTCCCCAACATTTATTTAATAGCCTATACTTTTAGTTTCTTTGCATATTTAAATGAGACTTTAGTTACACCTGGAATACATTTCACAAGCTACTCTGCAACATACAAAGTAATTAAAATGAGCTGCACCTTTATGAGCTTTAAAAACACTTAAATGCATCAATAATGTGTAATGTAATCTGCATAATGAGTAGGCCTACTTTTACATTTATTATAGCGCTTCTCCAGATGCTCAAAGCGCTTTACAAATAGTCCAAGAAGTCCCACAATTGAATTTAATATTCATTTGACATGTTAACTATATCGTAAAGCGCTTTATGGGAGTAATTGTGGGATGATACATTTTCAAAGTATCACGATATGTATCGGTTGAGTATCGGTATCGTTCAGTGGTAAGTCAACGATATGCATCCCTAGCCACACCGTCCATTTTCACGCCTAGAAGTCATCGAGGCTTTTACAAGTACACATTGATATCATACATGTACTGTGGACATTACCCACAGGAGCAAATTTGGGTGAAGTGTCTTGCCCAAGGACACAACGGCCTGACGCAGTGGCGGCAGGAGTGGGTTTCGAACTGGAGTTCCCCAGCACCCCCCCTTGATCTGATGATCAGATGCACAGACCACTGCGCCTTGTAACCACATTTGACTTATTTATACTGTAATTTACTTTTTTTTCATTATAGTAATGTCCTTTTTCTTTTTCAAAACTGTTTGGATTTTTTGTAATGTTTTTATACCTTTATTAAGGAACAGGTTAAAAGTAATGAGTTTACTTTAAAAGATTAACACAATTTTAGGCTATTTCATTTGTAAATGATTCAATATGTAACACACTATGTTATCATCGTATACAGCTGGTAGAATATAATTGGGAGGGATGAAACCCTCTTTTAATGGTCACACAAGCAGAGCACACAGCAGACACAGTGACATTTGGCCTCTGCATTTAACCCATCCTAGTACCAGGAGAAGTGGGCAACTAGTGGGCAGCAGGAGTGAGGGGGGAAGGGGGTGTCCGGTGCCTTGCTCAAGGCAGGGCAGGAGGTGAACTGGGACCTCTCCAAGTAGCAGTCCACACTTCATATTTTAGGTCTGGTCGGGGACTTGAACCAGCAACCCTACAGCTCCCAGTCCAAGCCCCTACTGACTGAGCCACTGCCGGACTGGCTCAATTTCATGATTATGGAGTCAAACATAGCTCTCTGTGATCAATAAGCCAAACAACAGAAAATGTGTGGATTTTACTTAATTGTGAAAAAGACTTAAAATGTATGAGGAAACCTGCAAGTATTACATCTTCAATTTCATCTTAATGGTACAATAAAGTTTAAAAGGATCAATGCAACACACACACACACACACACACACACACACACACACCACACACACACACACACACACACACACACACACACACACACACACACACACAAACTCAAGGACAACACAACACAACATTTTTCAATAAGAATTTTATTATCTAGTATTTGGGATCGTCTTGAGAGTATCAAAAAGTCTGTTGCAACATCTAAACACTTAAAATAATTAGTTTTGTTGCTCACTTTGGATTAAAAGATACATTTTGGTATTCAAAAGCAGAAATACAAAACAAAAACATAACTTAAATATTAACATTTAAGTCTACACTCTAAATCTACATTTGGCACCTGAGTTAAGTCAGCTAAATTATCTGTGGCTTCAAATGAACCTTTCATAATAATGAATTACACAGACAAACTTTTAACTTGAACTTATTAATTTAGTCAAATGTCACATTTTAATTGGGAAATGTTTTTGTTTACGACATCATGCTAAAAGAAAAATCTAAATTCAAATCTTCATTTTAACCTACTTAAGTATCATTTGGGTAAGATTTCATGGTGATAAAAGGACAGCAAAACAGTTTGACATCTCAAGCTTTAAAAAAAGAAACTATGTTAAAATGCCTTTCTAGAAATCAAAACCATTGGAAATTATATCACATTTAAATGCAAATAATGTAAATGAAACCAAAGAAAATCACTAAATAACAGAGACCTCAAATTTCTTTGGTTAGGATTATTTGTATTACAAAGATATAAAAATTGATTATGTTGCTCTTCACACATTGGGTTTCCATTTTGATAGTCAGTATCCTTCATTGTCACACCTGGACAGGAGTTTTTATGGAGAGAGAAAGACAATTATTTCCCATATAGCATTATTGGTGATCGGTAACAGATGATTCTCTTAAAAAGAATAAATATCATCATCTATCACTGGCAGGACAAACTAGATCTTTGGTCATGTGTCAAATATGTCCACCTCATAGTACCAAGGATCATGTGAATGAAAAGCCATACCCATCTGAGGAAGGAGACAACTCTTTGGATAATAGCATCGGCATCACCGCTGCGTTTAGCAATGGTTTAGAAGGCAAACGGAGCACAAGCCAGGGAGACTTGCGCTAAAGCTTTTACCAGAATGAAGCATCAAGAAAATGTACACTAAGAAAAGCATTCAAACCACCATTCTAAGGGAAATTTACATCATTGGCAAGAACAATATTTTTGGCAAACGCACCCTTAATGTATAATCTTTATATTTTTGGTTGCCTTAAAATATCTTTTGTTTTATCAAAAACTCTTTGGGTACAATTTTTCCCGTCTTTGGATCTCGTCTTCTATAGTATGCAAAAGCCCTTTCGATATTAAGGCCATGTTAAAGCTTTGAGTTCAGTGCACTGGAAATGCCAAACGATACCATGTGATAAAGCTCATATAGTTTGACCATTTCTAAAGCACTTGTTATTTTCACAACATACATCATTCAAAGACAATGCAAATGAAACAAAAAATCTTTCAACTGTGAAAATAAAAGTTCAGAGAATTAAAGAAATGAGCACCTCCAAAAAATAACGCCGAACAGAGGTAGCAAGACATGGCAATGAATGTGTGTCCCCTGAGTCTGAAATAATACTGCACATAATGTGGTGAAAAAGAGGTAGTAATGTATACACAAGAACGTGGAGGTAGATAATCAGTCAAAAGGGTCCAACTTCACCCTCTGCTCCAGTGAAAAGTAATTAAATATAACGAAAATGTATCACAGTACATTTTTGACATTCTTTTTAACATTCATCATAGGTGAGCTTTGGTTTAGGACAGATAACGGCGAACACAGACAAACAGGTAAAAAGTTAAGAAGATGGAAATAAAATGTTATAATGAACATCCATACAAAATCCTGAGGTAGATCCGAAGCGAGAACACCTTTCGTCCATCGTAGCAGCTGGCTTCCTTAACCCTTGTGCCTCAGGAAATAACCAAGGGGCTCAACTCAGGAAGCAAACGAGGTAGAAGTGGCGTAGCTCCGGCTGCTGGAGAGCAGCTTTAGGCCTCCTGATGTCAGGAGCCAACGTCCTGGGCCGAGTGCAGGGCAGGAGGGGAGCCCTGCAAGGTGCAGCAGAGCTGGGTTGCATCAGAGGCGGAGTGATGGAGGGGATGGCTCAGCATCTCCTCGTTTTCCACAACAAAATACTGCTTCAGCTCAGCAACAGTTACAACATCTTCCGGCCCCAAAAGATTCAGGTCTGGAGCTTTGGCTGGTGGAAGGGTTGCTCAACTCTTCGTTGCTTTCTTCGTTGGAGTAGTGTCCCGAGTCCCCCGTCCCCTGGCTGCCCTCACTGGTGTGAGAGCTCTCCGAGTGGTAAGGTCCGAAGATGATCTCGCGGGATGAAGGGGGCAGAGGCGCTGAACCTAAATGCTCCTCATACCTCAAAACAGTTTTTCCAGCCTCGTACAAGCTGGCTCTCCTCTCAGCCTAATGAGAAGGAGAAGAGAAAAAGGAAATTAAGATAAAAGAGAGAAGTCTAAAAAGAAAGTGGATTGATCAGAATAATGTTGCATCACTCACATCACTTTCAGATGTGTTCCTCATTTCCCTCTTGAAGAGCAGCCACCTCTTGCTTTTATTCTTGCTGATTGGACCGCCACTGTTTTTGACAATATTAGACCCGACCTGGAACTAAAGAGAAATAAATCAGGTCGTTTTATGGTCGTGTGTTCTTTTGAACATCAGACACATAACTCAAATGTATATATTACATTTCTGAAACCAGAAGAACCATCATCACACTTTTTGATGTCTCACCTTGGCATCTAGAAAGTTGTGACTGATCATGGGTATAATGGCCTCAACATTCTCTGTATGCTGTTCATTGGGGTGGGAAAACCCAGCTTGTGGACCTTCAGGATCTCCAACAGCAAGGACTTTTTGACTGGAGGATTTCCTATGAATCATACAAAGATAATATTGTTAGAACATTTCAGGAGAATATAATGTTAACTGTTAAAAATGGAGTAAAAATTGACAAATGACAAAATGTACCTTGGTCTTCCCTTACTGATGAGGATTAAGGCACATATTACAATACAGGACAAGGCGATGCTCACTCCAACAATGATGCCTGTCATGGACCTCTGGTCTATGTGGTAGAGGTCATCAGAGTAGACTGGAAGATAAACAACAGTGTTTTAGATGGAATATAATTACATATGTTATAATAACTAAGAGAAATTAATTGAAAGAGGGGTGATAAACCTGAAGGAAATAAAAAAGTAAATGCCCTCAGCCTAAAAAACAATATTTAACAACCCTTCACATTCAAAGACTGATGTTTACAGTTCATGATTAACACTGTGTGAAGGCCTGACGGTATACAATTAAACTAAGCTTTCATTAGAAAAAAACTAAACTTTTCACTTTCCTATTCAATGTGAACAAAAACGAATTGCATGTGGAAAAAAAAATCGTACAACATATATATATATATAATATATGGTTACCAGGTGTTGCTGACATACACCTCCTTGTGGTTTGTTTTCTAACAGGAATTAGCTTTTATTCTCTCCATTTTCACTAATGATTATGAAACCATACTGCCATTAAAGTGTATCACCTCACCAATTTTTTTTATTAAGTTACATTAAAGCCTAAGAGAAATTCAAACCATTTAATTTCAAGACAACACTAACAACTGAGTATAGCTTTACTTTAGTAATGAATGCCACATAACTACCAGCTTAATATAAATAAGAAGCAATCTAATGATGTGTACCTGTTGTATCGGGGACGTTTTCAGAGTGCCTGGGGTTTTTTCTGCGGTGTTTGTTTCCATTCTTCAGAGCCAGCTCCACGATCTGAGAGAAAGGCCCGTCACCCACCTGGTTGGAGGCAGATATTTTCACCAGGTAGACGTTCCCCGCCTCCAGCTTCTCCAGCAGCGCCATTGTGTGGCTCCCTGTAAACAAAAGCAAAACTACAATTAAGTACAAATATAGAAAATGAATTCTAGTGCACATCATTATGCTTAAATAACAGTTACACCCCCTATGACAGGTAAAGCTGAAGCTAGAGAGTTCAGGTCCCTAACATTATCTTAGGCATGTACATTAGTCCCATTCAACTAAGAAATACATTTTGTTTCCTGGAAATGTTTGCATATTTAAAAATAGTCCTACGGCACTAAAATGCTATGAGGGTTAAAAGGGATAAAGACATTTTTAGTGGTTCATTTATTTAGCTTAAAGGATGTTTGTGAATCTCTTGAATCTGTATTGACCTATGTGATGTTCTTAATAAATATATATTTAAAACTGTAATTATATCACCAACAAAACATATTTTATGATGCTGTCCACTACTCACCCTCCCTCTGCAATATCTGCCAGTGTCCAGCCATCCAGGCCTTCTGGGAGGCGTACAGGATGGTGTAGCGTGTCACCACCACATTGGGCTCGGTGGGCTCCCTCCAGGACACCAGGGCGGTGTCATCCTCGATCAGAGTGACTCGCACTCCTTTAGGCGGCTGGCCAGGTGCTGCAAACAGAGAAATCATATTCACGGTAAATTAGACTTGCTGAGAAATGTTCTGAGCAATATGCAATTAACTGATTTGTGTCTCGAGAGTAGAAGAACTGGACAAACAGAAACATAATCATGGTGAAATGATGTTACAGTAAGTTATTACCTGCTTGTAAAGTCTGACGGTAAACAATAGAACTCCAAGGACTCGACATCTGGTCCACATGAAGACGCACAACAAACTCATAGCGAGTGTTTGTTTCCAAATTTTGAACAGTCACGTTTTGTCTCGTGCTGTGGACAGACAACATTTATATATGAGCTTTTGACATACAATTATACAGGCAGCAAATTAAAAAGAGTACAACGGCCACATCATTCACAAATATGCAGTGTTACATAACATAAATACTTAGCAACAAAGAGTATTCTGAGGCTGCATTTGTCATGCCAGATGTAAAATACTGAATTTGTTGGGGGTTCTCGGCTTACGTTTGCAGGTAGCGTATAGCAGAGGCGTTGTGGGTGCCCACAGGTGTACAACGGATGGTATAGCTGACAGCCTTTCCAGACGAGAAAGCAGGACGGCCCCAGCGCAGAGACACTGAAGACGAGTTGGTGGCTGAGACAGTCACATGATCTGGAGGTGGAGGGGCTGTCGCCAGTTGGTCTCTGGCCGCTGAATGATGGAAAAATGTCATATCTCTCAATTTGTGAAAAGTTGTAAGCTCTATTTAAATGAGAAAGATTTTTGAAACAAACAACAGAGAGATGTACTTACACACACATCCCGGGGTGCTAACTGTTTGGTCCGTCTGATAGCCATCACCAGCTTGACCGACAGCCAGAATCTTGACATGATACTTTCTCCTTGGATCTGAAACACAAAGAATACATTTTCAGTCATGGTGTAAAAGCTAAAAGTGAAGGTAGATCAAAGTGACTGCTTTAAGTGCATGAAGCAGCTTTTAAAACCTGAGTAGTCCAACAGGGCCCAGACATAATTCCAAACCCTGAGAGATTTCCATTAAAATGTCAAAAGCAAAAATAGATAGAGCAGCATTTATTAAAAAGAAAAGCAGACTCTTTCACAACTGTCTGCAGGAGGGGACACTTGCAGCTCATTAATGGCCCTTCCCCATGCCCTGACAATATGCATGGCCCCCTGAGTCACCCCAACCTCTCGTTTATCATGCATTGTAATGAGTAGGGAGCATGAGAAAGATCAACCAGGTCCTAGGCCAAGTAAATATGGTGAGATGATTAATAAGCTCTATGAAATTATCACAAAACGATATTGTCTTTTACATTTTCAAATCCTATAAAGATTTTACAACCATGAAAATGGCAGTGCTAGGTTTAAAAAACTAAAACACACACATTACAAAATTGGAGGGAAACAACAGAGGCGAGATGAGGTTCATTTTTTAAAATAAAGTAATTATGGGGAAAACAATGTTGTATCAAGAACTGGGTAAAATACATCAGGATGATCATTGTGGTCTGGGGAGGGAAGCTTTCGTTTGAAAACATCAGTAACATTTTAACTTGAGTAAAACACATTTTTTACTTGGAGCATTGCATCAGCTCCTAAATCAGGGTGTTTGAGGGACTGTTTAGGTTTGTTTTATGCCTCCAGTGTGAAAGGTCAGCCAATGGGGGTATTGACCAGTGAAGGCGGTGTGTCCAGGCCTGATGTGGGGGCTGGGCCAGGGGCTGCCTTCAGCTGCTGGGATCCGAGGCCCATGGGACTGGGGGGGGTTTGCCTCGGGTCACCAGGTCAGGCCAAGATAGAACAGAAGGAATCTGGGCTCAGGACTGCGGGGGAGGAGCTGGGCCTCTTTTGTTCCCCCATTCACGCCCTTCTTACTGGCCTTGTGTTATAGCCTTAAACTTAGATCAGCGCAGAAAGAAACATGGCTCCAAGACAGAACTTTATATATCAGGGATATAATAGAACATGGAACCAGTGACAACAACTTGTGTTATTATTAATATGGAATAAAAATGAAAGGGCTTTTACAGATCCAGCAAATTTAATCAGCTTGTTTGATTATTAATAAAGAAATAAAGTGAAGGGTTTACAGATAAAGAGAGTTTTACTGCAATCACACATTTAATTTTAATTTAAAACGGCTTATGACATGAATATACAGATTGGTATGTTACTTTTTTTTAGGTATAAACTGCATAGGATGCACACTTATAATATTAACAGGCCCTGGTTATCTGCATATAGATTGTTTGGGTTATTTACATGGACAGCGCAGATGACCGGGGGGGGGGGCAGGGTCCTGATCCAGGACTGCTGTCTCACGGCTAAAGGTCAGTGTCTCAGTCCAGTTTTGACCAATCCCAGGGGTTTTTGTTTGTGTGATTCAGTGTCCGGCTAAAGGGGGCAGTGGTCAGGGTCATACAGGGCAGGCCTGGCCTTGGATGGAATACAATGGCCAGGGGTAATTATGCAAGCCGCGGGATAGGAAACGGTGGTGGGAGGGACATCTGGATCCTGACCTCTAACCCTGGGAGCCTGCTCTCACACTATACTGCAGCAGGACTGAAGGGGGCTACTGGTTAGGCAACAGGGGTCAGCCCATATTGATCAGCACAGAGGGTGAAAATGCAAATGTAGCTTCCAACTGCCCACCGGATTAAATTGGGACCCATTTGAACCCATCGGTCACTCTCTGTTGTCTCTACGTCAATATCCCTGGTCTAGATGGCAGAAATGCACTAACATTCAAATATACAAGTGATCTGTTCTTCACCCAATCCACTTCCCATCATCTCACAACACAGAAGTTAGTTAGACAAGCTACAGTGCATTACTCACCAAGGCCACTGATGGTGTAGGTGTAGTTTTGAGCCTGCAGCTGGATGATGGGCTGCTCTGGTTGGCCTTCCTCATGGTAACACAGCCGGTAACCCTGGACAGCCACAGACTGAGGGGAGGTTTCCCAGCGTGCCATAATGGAGGTGCAGTTAAGCGGCTCAAGTTGAAGAGTAGGGGCTGAAGGCACTATGGGGCAGAAACACCAGACATGGGATCAATACACACATTTTAATTCAAAAATATTGCTAAGCACAAAGGATGAATAAACCAAAAAACAACAGGACACAGGGTATAGAAAAAAGATGGATGGTAGGTGATCTCATTATCACAATGGATGGGTGTGACAGAGTTATAATTTAAGTTGCACTGCGTATAAATGCATTAACCACACACATATCATCCCTAGTTTTCATGTTCTAGACCTTGATCTATAATAAAAAAGGTATAATTCTGTCGACTGTGCTGCTCTACATCAACTAAATATACAACCAAACTTTTGAAAGAAGAAGTTCAGCTTTGGTGGACAAACAGCCTCCCCCAACACACCAGGCCATGAAAAGAGGCTATTCTTTCCCCCCGCATAGACGCCTGAGGCCCTCTCTTTATGACCCGTGACTGAGGCTACTTTAACATCACTGACAGCGAAGGGCAAAGGTTCCTGGGTAACCAACACAAAGACTGTGGGACAATGCTACAAGAGCAAACTCTAGTCCAAAGCCGGCCACTCTGCATGAGCCCTAGTGATCCTCCTGGTATTCTAACAGCAGCAAAACAAAATGATGTTACAAAAGCAGAAGCATAGCCGGCTACAAGTTTGGTACCACGATATTCTATTACTCTCTAGCATGTACTTGTTGTTGGCTTTTTACCCTGCTAAAGATGCCTGCTTTTGACCCTAAGAATACATTCAATTACACTTGAAAACTTTGTCACAATTGACCAAAACTGCTCTATACATTAGAATGACATTTAGCTTTCACTAGCTTGCAACATGATTTCCCTTTCCACTTTCTGCAGGTTTACCTTTGCTGCTGGAGATCTTAGGTGTACGGTGGGAGGTCCACGTAGGAGGCTCACACCAGCCCACACGGGTGGCTGCAGCCATGCGGAGCAGGTAGATGGTGTCCGGCTGAAGGTCTTGCAGCAGATATTCAGTGCTGTTCTGAGGTATCTCCACAGAGATGACAGTGCTGTCCGCAGCCGTGCGATAAGAGAGTCTGTATGCAGACAACCGACCGCGGCTCAACTTGGCGGGCAGCGGCTGCCAGGTCACCTGAATATCTGTGGCACTGTGGCTGGTCAGACTCAGCTCTGGGGTACGTAAAGGCACTGCAGAAAGACATAGATATTAGAAATGTATTTTGTCCAATGCACTTCTTCAACATACAAGCATGCTGGCAGAAATCTCAAATGTCATATTTCTAATTAGCATTCACATCAATTAGCTTGAAGTAAGCAGAAAACTGTGCTAATAACAGAATGCCCATCCCCCTTATTTCAACTCAAAATGTGCTCACATCACTTGCATGCAAGTTAGCTTAACTACCAGAGTGATTTATAGCAAGGAATGCTGGGAGTCTCAATGCTTTATGCTTACCATCCTCCAGGGTATGTTGACTGACTTGGTCTGACATACGACTGGCTCCCATTGGCATATAAGCCACGATGTAAAAAGTGTAGTTTCGAGCTGGCTCAAGGTCATCGATGATATAACTGGTTGTGTCGTTGCCAATAACAATTTGGTATTCTTCGTTGTTTAGACCTGAAAGAGGTAGATCATAAAGTGTGTTAAGATAATCCAAAAAAGAGAGGGACCTCTATGACAGGATGTAAGGCCATGACCCTGTAAACAGTCAGTTTTATAAACAGTTATTTGAAAGGCTTGATGCTGGCTTTTTCCAAATGTCACTCATCTTTTCTATAAACATGGGTAATGAGAGGCACAACCATATACCAACCAACAAGGCTCTTCACACAAAGCTGATAACCTCTTAAAGTGTGTTTACTACAAAGGCAGATATGACATATAGGGTAACTTCAATGTCAATATAATGGTTAAAGTTAAATATCTCCTGATGCTACTGGTCTGCAAGACTGTGATGTTTTTAAAAAGCTACACTGTCCCTTTAAGTGCAGGCAGATTGAGCTGGGGAGTGGACAATGGGCTGGCTAAGCCTGTTGTTATTTCAGCAAAGTTGCCTTTCTGAGTCCTCCTTGACCTCTGATCTGCGCAGCAACAACAGATGGCCTTCACCAAGGAAAGTTGATCACATGTGAGAGAGTTAGATAGCGTATTGTGGTCACCTTGCATCTGTTCACACCTTTATCTCTCCCAATTCATAACAGCTCAAATAAAAAACCATGAACAGAATTAACGGGTTCTTCCTTTTGGTCTCACCTTCAGCCTTCATATAATGGATGGAGTAGGCAATGACTTTGTGTGCATTATAGAGAGGTCTCTGCCAGGCCAGTAAGATAGCAGAGCTGGAGATGGTCTCAGCGTGGATGTTTCTCGGTGCACTGGGCCTGTCCTCGGACATTACAACAATAAGGCGAGCCAAGGACAGCACAGAGCCCTGATCATTCTCTGCCATGCACTGATAGATGGCATCATCCTCTGGGATGATCTGAGTAATCACCAATTTACTGTGAAACAAGAAACACAATATTAACAATCAGTACTCACCTCAGAAAGTAAATTGAATGTGATTTAGACAGTTTATTGGTATGGTACTTGGTTATGTTTGATTTCAATAATAATAATAATAAATAATAATGCATTATTATACCTGTTGTACATCTTGATCCTCCCATTTAAGTGAACCTCTTCTCCATTCTTTAGCCAGCTGATGCGTGGCGAAGGCACTCCCTCTGCTTGGCACATAAACCGGGCAGTACCTGCTCTCGGACGGGTCTGGCTCTCCGGCCTCTCAACTAAGGATGGAGGCACTGAAACAGACGTGTAAGAGAAAAGCAATGAGCACATAGTATATTGCTTTACATTTCTTAACCCATAGCAGACTACTTGAGTTGCTTCTTGCACCATATCACTTTCTCTATAAACAATGTGGACTTATCTTCTAAAGTCAAAAATATTTTCACATCTCAAAAAGCTTTAGCTGTATTATGGAATATAGGAAGCACGTATGATATGTTGTCAGAGAACCAGTGCTATATAAGTGAGACTCCACTGCACCTTGTACTGTGATGTTGGCTGCAGCAAGAGTGTAGTTGCGGGTTCCAGGGGTGGTGGCCCTGCAGAGGTACACTCCACTGTGCTTGGAGTTGACATCAGAAATAACAAGGTTCCCGTTGCCCAGCACTTTGGCGTTGTACACGTCGATGGGTTTCCTGTCAGCGCGGCTCCAGGAGATGATGGGACAGGGGTTGCCTGTGGCCACACACTCCAGGACAACCGTCTGGTGAAGAGACACTGAGACATTCTGAGGTCCTGCAATGATTCTGGGCCTCTGACGTGGTTTAGGGCCAGCACCTTAACAAGAAAGGAAAATGTTCAAAATCAATTTCCAATATGATATGATGACTTAATGGTCAGCCCTTACATCCAGTGGATGCACTCGCTGTACCTTGGTTGACTGTCAGTGTGGCCTCTCTACTCTTCAAACGGCTACCAATGTTAGTTGCCACACATTGATACTGTCCGGCGTCTTCCAATCGTACATTGTGGATCTGAAGAACTCCGTTAGGCAAAACTGTGATTCTGGGAACATAAAACAATAACTTTAGGCACAAACTCTTTTAACAGTGAAATTCAAGCACCTTGAAGGGACAGAAACAAAAAGGTCTATACTCTCAAAGCATCTATCATGAAATCTATATTGCTACAATAAATGCAATTGTGAAAAAATAAAGTTTACAGAAATCATATAATCATATATTGAAACTTTGTCTATTTACTAGCTGTGTATGTAAAATTAAATTGCATGTTTTGTTCATGATTATTCAATGATGCAGAGTAAGGAATTAACAAAGGCCTTGAACAACCCGTGAACACAACAAAATAACTCTTTTTTTAAATGAGTGGTTGTGTAGATGAAACAGGATATCATGTGTAAAATCAAACCTTTTACAAGGGGCATATCCATATGAAGTCATATACCTAACCTTAAAACATATTAAGTATTACAATTAAGCTTTTTCCAAATGTTCAAGTCTTTGTTCGAACCCTGTTTGCAGGTAAACAACAGTTTGGTAGCTGCTTCTAAATAACAACTTCACATTGCCCACAAGACAATAAGATATTATGGGGTCTTATGATGGGGAAAGAAGGTGTGTTGATGGGTACCTTTCGGTTTTTAGAGGTAATGTGCTTTGGTTGAGCTCCCAGGTGATGGTGGCTGGAGGGCTGGAGGTGACGGCACAGGTGAGTCGTACCACTGAACCCTCAGTCACGACCATAGGCACAGGATGCAATACAAACTCTGAGATACCTGAGGGGGGGAAATAAATTATCAATCAATGTAGCAGCACATTAAAAACATATTTATTAACCTACTCTGAAAATATTCAGAATTTCTAAGTAGTGGGCTGCTGAATTAAATATGTACTAACACCGATTTGTTTGGCACTTAATTGTGTTTGTCACTTACTAAATAGAGCATATTATTTCAATATTTGGTAAAACAAACCATACATTATGCATGCAACACCCTGACTGTGATGGATGTTAAATGATTGTATGAAAGGTATTGATCTTTGTGCGACACCATGATCTTGCTTGTGTGCAGATGAGCTATCGGGTCATATACTGACCAGCTGGTCCAATCAATGGATCAATTGAAGAATGACACTGAATGATGCATTGTTATAGGTAAAAACGAATCAATTCACTTTGCATAAGGAGGAGGGCCAGAAACCTTTAATGTGGGGGAAACTTCTGTAGCCATGGAGAGTCAGGACTCAGAGAGACACGAGGAGAGCTGGAGTTTTGATGGCAAACACTGGTGGTTTATTTGGAGTTACGGCCGGAGAATTTACAAAACAGGTGATGTGTCACGAGTTGACACAGCGGTTGCCAAACCAATTCTGAAGAACTCTTCTGTAGCTCGAGGTTTTAACTAGTCGCAGTGTAATAATCAACATTCTTCATCAGTGAGACTAAACAATTATGGACCCTGAATCTAACTAGAGCTCTCGTCCATAGAAAAGAATGTGCGCCAGGGAACCTACGTCCCTGAAAGGTAAACTACCTCATGGCGGCTTGTGCTCTGTCATAGACTGGCAACAACAATGCGCCCAAGCTGCTCCTCCTTAAAAGAGATAGCAGCAATACCCAAGGCTGTAGACCTATGCCATGAGAAAGGAGATAGTGAGAAGAGAAAATGATGAACTGTGTCAAAGGTTGAATACCTAAGCAAATTATTCCCTAACATTTAATATAATAAAACATATAAAAAATACTGTTTAAATATAGAAGAACAACTATTTGTTGCAGAAGTCAACATGACACACCATGTTTATAATTTGAATCTTGAATTGAATCTTGTCGGCTTCATGTTGCACATATTACATACAGCTATGCTTCAAGATCAAGTATAACTACATTTGCTTTAAAACTACTAAAACCACTGGGATCAAGTTCATGACTCACATTCTGTCTATGTGTTTTCAAAAGATCTTTCAATAATCACCACAATAAGCAACTCAAAATCTGCATTTGTCTCCAGAAGGATATTACAAATGACCTTCATTCATTAGGGTGATAACTCTCTCCCTTCCCCCTCACTCACAGGAAGGAAGTCAATATCATGTTAAAGAAAATCAATGCCCTGTTCCCCCACTGAAACCCCACGTTTAAATCCTGAGCTTTGGGACATCTAAATTAAAGAGCAATCCTTTAATTCAAGACCTTAACTCATCAATATTACACAAATAACTAGCAACCCTGCTGATGTCAAGTGAATAAACCAGGGCCTTAAAATTATCCATGAAAGTTTGATTTTGAATGATTTCTCGGAAATGGCAGGTTTTCCTTCAGTGTTAGTACATGACAACCTCTCTATGTGTATAACAGGCCGTCTTCACTTAGGCAGGGATCAGAGATGTAGATTGTGGGTGTGGCCTGCACAGACACAGCCACTAATATGGTCACCTCTGTTGTGAAGTACAAATCAATGTCTAGGTCAAAAAGCACAAAGGTTTCTCTAAAGAGGTCAAAGTTCGCCTTTACCCCCTGTCCATTCAATTTTAGCCCAAACTGGGAGGCAGATCGAAGTCAGTCTACCATTAGTCTACAAGAGTGAACCTTGTGATTTCTATGTTGTTTATATCCTATATAAAATGCTACAGTAGTATTACATTGGAATGACAAGAGACGTAACTTCTTCTATAAAGGTAACATTCTCATGGATTTGTGATACCCTGTGAATCCAAAAGGTGCTTAAATAAGTTATGTAGTCCTAGAAACAACAAGGAAAACACCTCCTGAATGTAAGCATGTTTTGAAAAGATCATCACTATTTACTGCAATATCAGGCCTGTTCACACTGGCCTTTCTTTAACAAAAGGGGCTCTGCTTGACAGGGCAACAGAGCGGCTGATCCAGTGAAAGGGATTGGGGGCTGGGAGAAAGAACAACAGGGCGGCCGAGCCCAGGCAGGCCTGTGACATCACAAAGCCTTTCCCTGCTGACCCCCGACCCGCAGGACCTCTGGACAGAAGGGGAGCCCAGAGGAGGCCCATCCAACCCCTCCCTGCCTACAGCTGACCAAAAAACCTTTAACCCTTTCACTGACAAAGGCTGGACACCCGGCCACATTTGAGGGTTTTTATATCTTATCACACAAATAACTGGATATTTAAGTTTTCTTTTAATAGATTGACAAACGTCATGACATAATTGTCAGAGTAGAGTTGGGGTCTCCATTTGTTTTCCTACTTGTATTTCTATTATTATGATTAATAATCTCTTGCTGTGGGTTGTATTTAGGCCTTCAAAGTTTTGTCCTGTTAAGTATTGGGATATATTGGCCCAACGTTTTTATCCTCAGTGTCAAAATCAGTATATTTCAGAAGGCCATGTTGATTTCCACGACACAGCTGATGGGATATCCTTTCTAAGACCTCTGAAAAGTGTCCATGGTAGACCAGGCCCATTGAAGAGACACAGCTGTCCTGTCCACTGATATGTGGACACACAAATGACCTGAAACCCTAACCTTTTCTTCTGGGGCGGTCAGGGTGACTCCAAACAAAGGCTAAAAGCAGAACAGCCTTTCAGAGATTCCTCTGTGTGGCAGACCATTCAACAATTAAACAGAGCCACAGTCCTTATTGACAATGTAATCCCACTAAACATAAGAAGAGAAAAGGCTAAATCCTAACCTTTTGCAAATGTTTCTTACTTTAATAGGAGTAGAAGTTTTAATTGTACTAAGAACAGTAAGAAGATAGTTTACTCTGACTCATGGCTGCCAGTTAATGGAGTTTTTATGAGCTTTTAGATTGACTCTCCATCTACTTTGAACTGTCTCTTAAAATGATCCTATAACTGGACTGCCAGCTCTGAACTCAAGCATGACCAAGTCTAAACAACTTCCAATAACATGGAAAGCCAAACTTTAGAGGTTTTTCCTAAGTAAAGAATAAAAAGAGTGGGGTGGGGTGGGGTACATCTGCTTCCCATCTCCAGGTTAATAACCCATGAACTTGCCATTCTAATGCCTGCATGCTGACAACACAAAGTGGATATCACCGAAAAGTAAACTCATCCTCATCTTGATCCTAACCATGGAAAATAGGAACAAAATCCATGTTGTCTTCAGAGAATAGCTTTCACTTTGAACTCCATACTTACTTGTGATAGTCAGACGTGATCTTTGGCTTAGGATAGCTCCATATTTGTTTTGGGATAGGCACTGGTAGAATCCTTCATCTGAATCCTCCTTGGTATGTTTTATCTTTGGTATGTACAAGGAGCCGTTGGGCAGAAACTGTATGTGCTCACTTTCTGTCAGTCGAACTCCATTTCTCAGCCACTTGATAGTGACTGGAGGCAGCCCATGAGCCTGACAGTCAAAGACTGCAGAGTCCTTTGGTAATAAGGTTACATCACTGGGCTCTGTGATGAAGGATAACTCGCTGAAACAAAAAATACCTAGAGTAAAAAGAAAGGGATCATTAGTAAGGATTTGTCTGTGCAATGAGACTACGACTGCACAACAATATCTACTACTTCCATAAAGACCATAATGTAATAAAACAAACTTCATTGATATTACCTTTTTTTTTAAAGAGGGCATGCAGAATGCATTGATTTCGTAGTATGATTGACACTCTAATGATATTTGTAATTAGAGACAGCTGTATTAAGCATACATAATCATACTTTAATATAGGCCTTCGTTGATGTATAATTGGCTGGATAAAAAAAAGTATATCTGTCAGAAAAACAGTGATGTATGGTATGTTGTTTTAATATTTGCATTGCATCTATAAATATTAGAATGAAGTTTGTCAGAATCCGGACCAGGTTACTGACATTAATGACAGAGAAACACAGAACAAGAATAAAATAGATAGAAAGTATACGGTTAAAATATAACAACATGTCTTGTAATATTCTCATCGTCAACAAGGTTCAGAATACAATGCTGTCTCTGAAAAACATAGTTACAGAAGGCATATTTCATATAGGAACAATAGATAACGTTAGCCTGCATTATGTTCACCTTATGCCATCAACAGTACGCGCTCGGAACACATGATATCAGGTAAGCACTAAAAACTCAACAAAAACAAGACACTCACCTGATAAAGGAAGAAACAAAACTAAAAACAACCAGTGCTGGTGGACTTTCATCTTAAACTTCGCCATTTATCCAGGTGTATGTGTCATTTTCCCCCAGCGCGACCCGCCGCTCTCCTGCGTGCTGCTGTCCGTATATCCCCAAAATCACTTCTGATGTGCCGGCAGCGCAGCACCAGCGGCTCTACAGGGGCCCCACACCCGCCTCCTCACGCATGCGCAGACCGCACAGGCCAGCAAGTGTGTCCAAAGTGAGGTGTGGGGACCCCAGGGGCCTCCAGGAGGAACTGTCACAAAACAGGAACTGGATACATTTAATTAATAGATAATGCAATGTTTAAAGAAGATGATACTTGTACTCACCTGGAGTGGAAACAGCCTACTCAAAGAGGGTCATATGTGTTACACTATAACCACTATCATGTATGTGTCGGCTAACAGTGTGTATCTATCTTCCTAATGAAATAATAATAATGGGTGTACAGATGATGTAGGTCACATTATTTAACAACAATTGTCATTCGGTTTCCGTGTTGTTATTTCTCCAATGCTTTTTTTGTCTACTTTGTATACAATACATTAATTGCATGTCTGTCCTGACAGAACTAGCCCTACTCTGTTGCTCTTCTGTTCTTGTGGTACTCCTTTTATCAATGTTAAAAGGATTTTTTAGGGGTGTCCAAATTCAGATAAAGGGTCTCAGGACAATGAAGAATGTACTGTACATTATGTAGCTTGTAAATATTGTTCTGACACAACTTTTAGATATTGGGCTATGGATTTGTGACTTTATACTTGATTCAAGTCCAACAAGTTGAGCGGTTTTTAGTTCTTTCAATCAATCTATATAAAGCCAAAATGCACATTAACTGGATGTCAAGCTTGTATCAGGTCCATATGATACATCTCTAAACAATATTTTTCAGACGACAGATTGATCAGACATCAACCTATACTGATTTCCCATGTAGCAACCTAGCATTGTGAGGTCTTCTTTTTTGTGCATCAGATTTAGATATAAAATAAGATGAACAAAATAAATATCAGTTACCAAGGGCCACTGGTTATAAGGTCACCCTGGACGGCATCTGCTTCTAACACAAAACCTGGTAATTATAAGGAGATATTGATGGCTGCAAGTCAGCTGCCTAATGAATTCAGTTATTGATCCAGTGACCGTGCCTTTTGACAATGACCCTGCCGTCTCCCAGCCCTCATTCAATAGCAATACAATGGGCTCCAGCTGCGAGATCAGCCATGCTGTATCAGCAAAACACCCATTCATTGGTACAGGTAAATGCAGTCGTCACATTTAGAACAGGAAGTGTGTTATAAATATATTATATAACGCGTGTTTTCAACAACATCTATGAATTGTTGATTAAGTATTTGTATGGATGACTGTCATAAACATGCACCCCCAAACTTCAATATCCAATCAAATGAAGAGGGCGGAGTGTAATTATGTATTGATTAGAGCTAACTATTGATTTAATCATCCAAAGCCTTATAGTTTTAATTCAAGTCTCAAAACCTAGGGTCAGGTTAATATCATCCTTTAATGTGTTGACTTAATAGTTTAGATTTCAAATGATGTAATTAAAGATTCTATACCCGGGAGAAACTACTGCATCTATTATTATATATTTAAATACCCATTTCTTTATTGGGACATCACTTATGTTGTAGTTTATTAGTTTTGTATGATTTTTAACTAGTTCAATTGATTGACATGCATTCGTTGGCACTGATGTAAAAAGCATTATTTAGTTTATTTGGAGGCAACAAATATGTCTTCCTCACACTGATGATTTTAGAAGTGAAGAGAATAAAAAAAAAATGTAGGTGGCTAACATAAACAAAACATGAGTTATCTGTATTGCTGACACACTTTATATCTGTGCATTATCTGGTTATTGATAGTTTGTATACAAACAGGAAGCATTATCCAGTATTGCTAAATCTGTTGAGTCACAGATGTTGTGTTGCGTAGGTTACCGCTGGGCTTCACATGGCTTAAGGTTAGGCTGTTTGGCCATGATCAATAGGGTTAAGGTCATTAACATGTTATGAATATCATGAGGCCCTGGGAAAGCGGAGCAGTGGACCAACAAACTGGCCTCTGATTGGCTGCAGCGTGAAGAGGCCACCCCCCACTGACCCCAGAGGTCATCTGAAGAGCAGATGACCTCTGACTTCCTCTCGAGGGGGAGATGAAAAGGTTTGGATACTCGACTACTACAATATTATAAGTGTGTGGGGTTTACCCAAGAACAAATAAACATCAGTATTAGTTTGACAAAAATCAATACCATAATATCACAAGCTGGGGTCAGATCAATCAAAACTTAGTTTTATCCTGCAATGTTTGTATTGGAGACAGATACTAAGCATCTTTCCTTCAATCTAAAATCTTTCAAAAACATTATAACATTACCGGCAATGATATTTCATATAGAATTGTTTAACTAATAAATAAGCCAATTGAAGTATTTATAATTAATATTCTAAGTCCTGTGAAGTTACTTCATGCTTTGAAGCATAGTTTTATTTAATGGAATAAAATACAAAACCATGAGCACATGAACACAAAGAAGATTCTTTAAAAAAGTTTATTGGCTTTTAAAACCACTTTAAAAATCTCACCAGTGAGTACTTTCCATTGAAAAAAGAAACAACGCGTTTGCAATATTAACAAGCTACTGTACATTAAGCAGTACACCAGACAACACCACAGAGGAGGGTTTTTTTTTTCTACCGGTAGAAATGGACAAGATAGTCAAACAGAGTTGGTTCTGGGTCAGTCAAAGGTAAAGAATCAGAGTCACTGCTTGATGGAGCTCCTGTACTCATTAGGAGGTGCATTTCCTTCTTTCAAATTCAATTATCAGTGCCTTATTGTTAAAGAAAGAATTACAAGTTTCTTCACAAATGCATTTAGCAAAATAGGAATATGTCAAATCAACAGAAAACAGTCATCAACATAACATGTAGAACAACATTAACTGAGTAAACAGCACACAACAAAATAATGTAACTCATGAAACTAGCACTGCCAGTCTGGTTAACAGAACCTGCCCAAATCACAGAAGACAGTGGTTACCAATAATACAAAGTACAACAGAAGTCATCACACATGCGTGCGTACAATCATTTATCAACATAATGCGCATGTAGGTTTTAAAAGGTTGTTTAACATTTTTTTTCCCTCAATGCTTTTTATTCTCATGTATGAAAATGGGTAAGAAATGTGTATCTCACTGAGATTAATGCACATTTTGCTACAAGACAATTAGTCATTTTCCGACAGTTAATTTCCCTACTCATCTCGTCATAAAAAATATGTTTTTTCTTTTTTGTGGGCACCCATCATTACATTTGTCCATAAAGATGTGGCAAAGCCGTGTCATAAAAATTTAGTGCAATAATGTGAACCTCCAAAGTTTGTTGAAACATGAGTAATCGTTTTTTTTTTTTCCAGTGTCTGCTGAAAGGCTTTGAGCACAATGTCTGTCACAGAGATGTTTGCAACCAGCTAACAGTATCACAACTTTTTTTCTCAATATACCATGCTATTAATCCTGCTCAAAGCACACATCACTTCTGCAACTGCAGAGACCTATTATCTTTGAATAGAAAAAAAGTAAAAGAAAATCAGCAAGCGAGACCAGACAGCATTACTTTACGACACATTGAGCCAGAAATGTAACACACAACATACAGTATCTTGCCGACTATAGATCTGTTAAGCTTTTTTTTCTTTTGAATGGCACATACTTGGCTAGAATAAGGGCCATAATATAGTGTCTTGATACATCAAATCTCTATGTATCTATTCTATTTACAGATGGAGCTTAAACATGACTTATACAACATTGACAATAGCCAAAAACTCAAGCAAGCATCCTACTGTATCACAGAGCCTACCTGGCTAGCAGTGATGGTTTCAACATGCTATCAGGTCCATGGTTACCTATAAAACAATAGGACAGCGACCATTTCACAAATTTACATACTGTACATAAGATTTACGCAACTTAACTCTTTTCCTCAAATGCAATAAAACTCTTTTATATCTCCGAGGCGCCACGTTTCTTATTGTTGGTAATGTTTCCTAGGAGTGTCTCGATGTGTCATAATCTCATGTTATTCAAATGGATCATCTTTGGTATGGAAATAAGGCTGGATTCTCCACAAACATAATTTCATTTCCTCTTGATCCCAAGATGACATCAAAACATAAATGTCAGCCTCTAGCTTTCTACGTAACTAAGCCTTCTCCATACCATTGATATTCTTATCCAAGCTGGGAGTATAGCGTGCCAAAAAAAATCTCATGACTGAAAATGTGCCTGCCATGGTTGATGGACAGCGTATCAAATTCCTCTAAATACATTATTAATAAGGGCACACACAGTGTAGTCGTTCGCCTATACAATACGCATCTATATTGTAACACTGCAAAAACAAAAACAATAAGAAATAGTACAGCTGCCTTGATATGATGAAGCTCTGGATGGTTCAGAATGTTCTTAACATTATACTATTTACAGTCTCTCTACAGATGGCATAAGGCCTTGGACTTTGGGAATAAGGCAGCCAGTTGTTTATTCCTTTCGATGTATTGTCCACAAAGTGGCCTGAATTCAAATTTCTTCTCCCTACTGATTCATCTACTCCCTTTATAAGATATTAAACAGTACAAGAAGTATAGGCTTTAAGAAAATGTCACGCTCGGACAATGCTCAGATGTGAATTAGTTTTCCAATGATTTGGTATATGATAAAGTATAAAGAATATGTCATAAATTCAGCACCTGGCAGCATGAGATGCTACTCTTTTTTAATATTCCGATATGGCAGGCAAATGTACTACAACTATTATGTGCATATACTTCAATCCCGATATTGTCTCCATTCGGTTGAACTTGAACTGCACACACTGAAAATAGTATACAACAGCATAGGTTTTTTGGTCTTTTGTGCCAAATTTCATACCCATCTCTTTCTTTCATTAAGTGTCCGTTAAATACAAATATTGCATTATTGATTGGTTATAACATGGAAGATTATGTTTCTCTTAATATCCATACCATTTGTAAGTGCATGCTGCCACCAAGTACTCACACTTCTTACTTGAAATGCTTCGATTTCTAA